GACCGAAGATTCTGTGGGTTATTAGGTATCATGTTCCGCTTTCGGTGCAGATTGAGACGAGGAGGCGCAAGGCGGTGTGGACGCTGGAGGATGAGTGAGAAGAGAATAAGGAAGCCAGTTGGTGTGGGTGATGTAAAGATGCTCTGAGGGGGTTCGTTGTTGCAAGTGGGAATGAAGATGCCCATTTCGACCTCTGGAAATCGTTTAGATGTAAGAAACTTACAGCGTGTGGGAAGATGTGTTAGCCCCCAAAAAATCATATGACAATAAAACCATCTATTCGAAATTTCAAGTCTCGATTCGAAGGAGATTATCTGGGTATCTACTTCATGTCATATCTCCATTAGCCTTCTTCTCCGCACTCACTTCTACTTTCTCTTCTTTCCCCTCTTGTTTTGTTTCTGCTTCTTTGGATTCAGGTTTTGGCTCAGCCTTTGGCTCCGCTACCGTCTTACTGACTACCAGGCCAATGAGATGGGAACCGACGTTACCCGCGCCGTCAATTGGACCAAGTTTTGCATCAAAGAGTTTTGCTTCACGTAGTAAACTGTGGTAGTTTGTTAGTAAACATGTACATTCGCAGTTGACGAAGCAGTCTGATTTACTTACCGTGCTTTCCCTGCTGCCGTCTTAACAGGCGCTTCCTTGATGACTTTACCAACCTGCTCCCTGTAGCTTTCAAATACCGGGCCCATGATCATGCGGACCTGGATCTCGCTCAGGTATTTGTTGATAACCTTGTGCATAGTGACTGTGTCTTTGGTCAAACTCTCCATGCTGGGACTAACATCTTTGTTGGCCTCAGCCTCGCTGTCCCAATCAACCTTTTTGAGACTACGCATGTGCACCGTAGCACGGCCGGAGAGAATATCTGTCAGCTTCTCGTGGATTTGATTCTGCTGGTCGTGCAGCAAGCGCTTGACGTTGTCGAATTCGCCAAGAGACGACTTGTTGCTGGCAGAGGCGATGCGGCGCCGGAAACACTCGCGGATGTAGGGAAGGATAGCGATTATAAAAGACAGGGTTTGAGACGCAATGGCAAGGTGCTTGGTATTGATATTCTTGAGACCAGCCGAATGTATGGCTCCAGCACCAAGAATAAGTTGGCATAGGCGTGAGTTGAAGAGCTTGATGTATTCACACAACGAGGCAGCGACTTCAGAGGTCATGCTTGGCATGACGGAGACGAGGATCTCGAAGCGCTCGATTCCCCTTATAACGACAGAAGAAGACGAAGATATTGTGTACTTTTCCTCGTCCACAATGGCGGGCACAGTAGTCTTGTTCTTCTCCTTGGGTTTGTCTTCAGAGCCGCCATTAGTTTTAGCGGATGTGCCATTTGTAGTCGGTTCTTGAATCTCCCGCAGGATATTGCCAGTTTCTGCCCAGTTTGGAGGGTCACTCTCCATACCCTTCAATAACCGCGCAAGAACCTCTGTGTCTTCGGCGTCAAAGTCTTTTGGTTCCCAACGATCTGAGTCCATGGCTCTGGCAAGCTCCTGTTTTTCAAAGTCTCCAAACTTGGACACGAAGTCGGTGATGTGTGTGTTCACCACGCCCTTCAACGCAGCACCGGATCTTCCAGAAACTGCCTCGCACTCGTCGGCAAACAGCCTGCACATGGTGAAATACCTAAGGAATCTATCGAGTGGGAGGCTTGCAGTCGCCTCCGAGCGAACTCTCAGCAACTTAGTGATCTGCGTCTGGGCAGCATCGACTGCCTGGCCAAGGAGGCTTGACATATCCAAAGCTTGCATAATCTCCATCTGCAAGTCGGTGGAAGAGGGTGGCGGTACGCCGTTGCCCAGGTAATCATCAATGTTGTTGAGGTAGGAATTCCTAGGGGATAGTAGACCGCCTGCAGAGACAGGGGGCGTGGTGACACCACTGGTTACGTCGAGCAACACTTTAACCAAAGTACTGAGTCGACGCAGTGCCTCGCCAATATCGGTAAAAATGTTGGCGAAGAAGTCTTCTGCATCGCCAGGGTCCATCGCTCGCAAGTTTCGTGCAAGAATCGAGTTCTTGTCCGCCTGGCTTTGTCCGCGACCACCTCTTGTTGATACAGAGGCCATTGATCCGGTATCGTCATCTGAAGAGCTTGGTAGATGTTTCCTGATGATAATTTTCATTTCCTTTAGGACCGCTTCCCTGAACGTTGTACTCGCCTGGTTCGTGAACTGTGCTCCACTAAGGCCGTATAAGCTAGCTCGGAGGTCCGCTCGGAGCTCGTTTTCGGTCGACATGTAAGCAGGAAGAGTTGTCTTAAGCTTCTGATTGCTACCCCGTCCTTTCTGAGAGGCGGCGACCCATCTTTCCAATGTCTCCTGGTTCGGGACACGCTTGACGTGCTCACGCAGATCCGTAAGTAAGGTGTCTACAAAACGTGCCTCGAACCCTCTTCCGATCCGAAACTTGATCTCAGTCATACTTTCAAATACGTCATCCAGGGCTCTTAAAGGTCGTAAATCAATTAGTTTTGGGGGCAGCCGCGTTTTCAGCCACGAGGTCCCCTGTGTGTCGGTGGTATCCAATGCACCAGTAACGAGGCGTTCTATCATTTCGATCCGAGTCATGGCAGTTTCCAGGTCGCCTTCAACGACGGCCTCGTCGCAATATGAAAGCCCTATAATTACGGCTTGGAGCTGGTCGACTGAGTCGGCCAGCCTTCTCAGGTTCTCTCTCCGCCTCTTCATTTCGACAACCTTCAAGCCCCCTATTGCCATCTGCTCATCCAATCTCTTCAGGTCTTCTCTCAGCCCTTTTATCCTGGCGACGGAGTCTGCAGCTTCGGTCTGCAGTTCGCGGAGTGATCCCAGGGCGGCGAAAAAGGACGTTGATGCTGTTGAAATCGCGGATATCAGATGCACCTCGACAGTGTCCATGTACCATGATAGCTTCTCCTGTAGTATCGCATTCGTTGCCAGGGCCTTCCTCCCTATCGGTTGTGGTACGTCCAGCGCGCCCGGATCATCACTACTTATGCTCCTCACCGGCCTCACCACCTCGGATCGCTCACTGACAACGTCAAAAGTTCGTGGGTTCTCAATGTGGAAGTTTTCGTCAAAGTAAATATTGGGTATCGTAGAAAGCGGCGTAATTGCCGGTAAGGGACGCTTTGACGCGCTCGTTCGGCGTTTCGGTTTGGGGGTGGTATCTGGGCCAAAGGGCGCTGCTGCTAGGTTTGGTGTGCCAGCTGGCGAGGGAGCCAGGCTGTCAGGACCATCGTCTTTTGTTGATGCCCTCCTCGGTTGTTGTGCAGACTCGCCAGCCTCTGCCTTTGCACGCTGAAAGGCATCATAGAGATTACCGACTTGGGTGAGATAGGGATTGAAAGCTGAGGGGTCGACGTGGGGGATATGGGCGAGAGTCACTGGAGGTATGTCCTTGGTAGAGGGCGGTCGGTGGCTGGAGGTAGCTGTAGCGGTTGTATGGGGGACCATGCCGGTCCGCATAATGGGAGGGGTCAGAAGCGTCGAGATAGCTGAGCGGGGGTTAGCTATCCGCGCATACACGGACATGTGTCAGGGTGTGTCTTCACCATTGTTGCTCTGCTCTCTCACGGCGCCCATGGTGGTCTTGAAGTTACTGTCGAGTGAACCGCCGATGGAGTGAATTGAAGATGCGGTTGAGCCACGTCGCGGCTTGTAACGCCCGCCCGTCGAATTGGGCCTGCTTGTCCAGTCATGTTGTGATGGGGGCGCAAACGAGCCCTGAGGAGGATTTGGCGATAGGAATTCGAAGCTTTCGGTCGACTTTCGCGAGGCATCGGGAGAGGACATGGTGGCGGCGCAGGTCGGGGGTGTTCAATCGGTAGCGGCATGGGGGAATAAAGGAGTTTTATCGCATCTTGGTTGGTATATCGAGTACTGTTGGGCCTCTGCTTATCCAACATGCAGGGGCAAGGAAACGGTGCAGTCGAAGCAATATGACATCGAGTCTTGGTTCAACGTCGTCGTGACTGGCCAAAGTTCCCACGCGCTCGGTGGTGACGGAGTGCATGGGCCCTGCAACTCCAACAGGGATACCGCAGCCGAAACACGACCGGCCACTTCTCCACCCGCAGCCCTACCTACATCTTATCTAACATTACATAGTCGACCTGGGTGAGATTGAGACAACTCTGTAAGGAAAAGGCTTTTTCTCTGGACAAAGGCGGTATTGTGAACCTGTTTCTTGGCAGGTGAGAAGATAAAGTCCATGATCATAGTAGTCCAGGAATGCACGCAGATGACTACCAAGAGTGTCCTTTATCACCTTCTCGTATGTGACATTCTATAGCTGTCGAAACCAAATATTCTTGTAGCTCTACAACTTGCCCGGATCGGTGGATTCCGTCTTGCAGCTTTCCCCAATCTGGATGATGCCTCATTGATACTCTAGGAAAGTTTTGATCTACACTGAGCGGTCTCTCCCACATTTCTTCTCTAGAGATTTTATGTTTGTACAGATCCCATCCATGGCTTGTAAGAATTGGTCCGTCCTCCGATCTGACTGTATATACTACATGCCAAGCCACGGTCATGTGACTTGATCACTTCACCGAAACCATGAGCTCCTCTGATTCCAGTGATCAGCATTAACACCACAAGGCATACATCCAACAAGCGAAGAAAACGTTGTCAAGCATGAAACGATAGTCTGCTACTGGCGGGCGATACGATCGCACGGCTTAAGCGAGGCGGCAGCTGAGACGCGTAGCCATGCTCAGCCTTGCTTAGACTGATGCCAACACATGTTGCCTTTTTGCCTAATGGCCAGGATTGAATTTTGCAGGAACCCCTTACTTTCCCATCTCTTTCGCAACTTCCTCTTCACATCTCTCATTGATTCATTTTCAGCGATAACATATCTTGATCTTTCAGATTCCTATGCCTACCCACTCGTACCTTCGTGGCTAACTAACATGACCAAACACTAGTCAGCCAGCCTTGTCTCCACTATACACACATCTCAAGCAACGGCACGCTTTCTTCTTATGCGATTTGTTGATGCCAATCATGTCTGCAGCTCTGCGGAAAGCGTCATTGTTGAAACCCGAGATACGCCTCGCTCAAGCAGTCTCCGAATTCGAGGCCGACCTCTCGACCGAGCAAAAAGCCACATTCTGTACACTTAAGTCGCAATCACATTCAAGCACACCTGACCCAAGCGATGTCATGCGACTAACAGCCGAGATGGACCGCTCTATATCGACTAAATACGGCAGTCGGTGTTTTGGGCCTCGCTTTACGAACTTCCTTCAAGCTGTCCAGCAGTTTGTTGTAGTTGGAGATGTTATGGTTGGAGGGTCGCAAAACTTGATAGCATGTGGTGTGTGGTCGCTGGTGCGCATGTCTTTACTGGTCAGTATCATCATCAGCTTGCATCACCAGCATACGCTAATGCATCACACTCGATCATAAGCCTGTCATCATACATTGACAAGCTATCCTCAATGTTCATGGCCATTGGTCGCGCTGCGCCGCGTTACCAAACAATGGCCTTGCTGTATCCTCGATCCAAGAAGCTCCAATCACACCTTGCAGAATACTTTATCTTGGTAGTCAAGCTGTGTCATTACCTATTCAGATATGGACAAAAGTCTTCTATCCGACAGTTCACGTCTTCACTGAACGATACACTCCTGAAAACACTCCAAACAGACCTTGACAAGTGGGCAAACTCTATCAGGGAAGAGATGAATTTGATTGAAGCTCAAGAGAGTTCCAAATTCAGGGCCTTTACCATGGACATGTTCAAATCTGACGCGCTCCAGCGGAGACAGGAAACTAAAATGCGAATACTTGACTTCTGCTCCAAATACGACCACGAGACAGCATGGAAACAGATCAGAAAACTTGGCAACTCATCTTTTCACACGCAAAACTCGGAGTATCAAGAATGGAAAACTAGCTTGCTTCCTGGAACACTGATGTACACAGGCAAGCTGGGCTCAGGTAAATCTGTACTACTAGCCAACATCGTAGACGACCTTAATCTCTCCACTGAAAAGGGACAGTCTACCGTAGCATATTTCTTCTGCAAATATGATGTCTCGGAAAGCTTGCAGGCACAGACAATTGTTGGCTCCCTGATACGACAGCTATTGTCTTCCATCTCGGACCTCGGAGCACTTGCGAACCGCTGCGAAGATACTCAGAACAAAGGAGGTGATATAGAAGAGCTGCTTGAATCTCTGTTCCAAGGTTTTACTTCTGAACAGAAAGTATACCTCGTCATTGATGGCCTGGACGAATGCAACGTGGCGCAAAAGGAGATACTGATACACGCGATCCGAAAGATTCAAGACACACTCAAAGTCCGTATATGTGCTTCTATCCGAGAAGAGGCAGATAATAGTCTACAATCAATCACCAGACAAATCCGCGCTGTACGCGTCGTCTCGTTACCAGATGATAATCCGGATATTGAGACCTTCATTGAAACTGAACTAGAGCACCGCCTTATCCAGGGAATAATGACGGTCGGGGATCCAACTTTGATACTGGAAATCCAGGACGCTCTCTTGAAAGGCTCTCAAGGAATGTTTCTTTGGGTCGCTCTTCAGATAGAGACTTTGTGCAGATTAAAGACCGACCACGCCATGCGGGAAGCACTAGCAAACTTACCTAGAGATCTTTCAGAGACATTCTCAAGGATCCTACACAATTCCGGACGTTCAGATCCATCACTTCAAGTAAAAGTCCTACAACTCGTCCTTACAGCTCGTCGACCATTGACGACGATTGAACTGCGTGAGGCTTTGAGCGTCATTCCTGGAGATGCTACCTGGGATCCTTCTAAGGTCTTACATGATGTTTACTTAGCGCTGGCTTGCTGTGGATGTCTTCTCGCTGTTGATGAGGAAGAGTATACAGTTCGGGTCATTCATCATAGCGTTCAGCAGTACATTCTCAACGGACTCGACAGCACGACACACCAGAAACTTACGGTCAAAGACGCGAAACGAACTATGGCAGATATTACTACAACATATCTTAACTATGGTGTCTTCGGAACTGACCTATCGAGAACAAAGATTCTCCCAATTATGGCTGAATCAGCGCCATCCAAGATCTTACAAGCCACCATGGACTCTTCTAGCAGTGCACGCCAACTAGCTATAAGATTTCTCCAATCAAGGCGACAACCTACATTTGATTTGAGCAAGATCATTGCAGAAACGCTCAAGTCATCTCATCCCGAAGATGAAGCCTCGTTCAAGTTTTACAAATATGCAAATAAATATTGGCTAGAGCATTTGAGCCATGTATCAGGAAACAATGCGGCCATGTTCAGACTTTCTTGGAAATTGATTCATAGTCGGGCATCCACGTTCGAAATCTCAAAAGATGATCAAAGGACAATGAGAGCCGATGCTCGCAATCACGAGAACGATAAAATTCTGAGCCTATTACTGCAGCTTGGAAAGATTCACGCAGATCCAGAATCCAAAAAGGCCGTGACAATGCTGATGTGGGCGGCATCAGAAGGAAGTAATGAAACGGTCGAAGTGCTGCTCAGGGATGGCCATACCAATGTGGACGAGAAAGATTTCAATGGATCCACAGCGCTTATGTGGGCAGTGACATTTGGACAGATAACCGATGCTGAGATACTGATCAAAACTGGAAAAGCTGATAGCAATGCTAAAGATAATAGTGGAAACACGGCACTAATGTGGGCGGTCCTAGGGGGGCGCAATGATCTGGTTGAAACGCCGTACACTATTGACAACGCCAAAGTTGATACGAGAGACCTAATAGGATTCAAAACGCCAAAACGGATGTCACCCAATGAACGCCGGGACATGGTCAACTTGCTGCTTACCACTGGTAAAGCTGATGTTAACGCCAGTAACTACAGAGCATCTACAGTACTGATGAAAGCGGCATCAAAGGGGTACAAGGACTTAGTTGAAACGCTTCTCCAATTTGGAGCCGATCCGAATATGACAGGTCCTTCAAGGCGCACGACTCTCATGTACGCGGCAGAATTTGGAATGAGAGATTCAGTCGAAGTGCTACTCGATGTTGGCAAAGCTCACGTCGATGAAAGAGACTACAATGGGTGTACAGCTCTCATGCTCGCAGCAAAAAGTGTGAACATTGAGATAGTGGAAATTCTGGTTCGCATCGGCAAAGCTAGTGTGGATATACAAGACCGTAACGGAGATACAGCTCTCATGTTCGCGACAAAGGCGAAGAGCGTGGAAATGGTGAACTTTCTGCTCAACATCGGCAAAGCTAATGTGAACGCGAAAAGTTATGGGGGACGTACAGCTCTCATGTGCGCATTGGAACAGGAGAATATGGAGGTGGCGAAGTTTCTGCTTAGCATCGGCAACGCTGACGTAAATAAGAGAGATAACGAGAGGCGTACAGCTTTAACAGAAGCGGTAATAAAAGAGCACGAGGAGATAGTCAAGCTGCTGCTTGATACTGGGAAGGTTGACGTCCAAGCGGAGGACCAGTTTGAGAGAGCATTGGAACATGCGAAATCATGCGGGCTGACGACTATAGTCAACTTGTTACAGGCGTATAGTGCATCTGCTCAGTAGAATATATATTTCCGAGGCCCCGCCATTGGAGACGATCGTCAGAGAAAGACTTGTATCATTATGAGATGGCCCTGCTTCTGGGACTCTCCCATCCTCAACTATTGATCGAGAAAACCCTGTAAACAATCAATGGATCATATCTCTACTGTCGTGACAACTTACCATCTTGTAGTTGATTGTTTCAGTTGATATGTATTAGGCACAAATATTTAGTAGATATCATTTGTTTGATGCATCATTTCCATTTTACATAAGCATGATCGGTAACACCAATAATCAATGGATTTGTACAGTACTGGAGCCATTCCTTATATCTGTATATCTCGCATGCTGTATATACACCATGACGTCTACCGAAGACAAAAGCAGTAGCTCACAACATGATGCGGAAGCTGCAGTCCTTGTCGCTCATGCTTGCTGCTGACATGTTGCGGGGTATCTTCAAAGAATACACCATGTGTCCCACAATCACATCCTTGCAACCTCCAACCAACGTCTCGACTTCGTCTATCATATCCTTTAATTCACCAGCATGCTCAGCCATCAACCTCTTCTCTGCATCCAACAACCTCGCCCAGCTCTCTTCTACCATCTTCACGCACCGGTCAACAGCACTCTGTGCACTGCACCCCTCGTTCCACACCATGACTGGGATCGCGGAATCGATATCACCGTCTTCAATCTCTTTCCTGAGACTTACAATATCGTTCCAGAGGAAATCGCTGATGGCAACCTCGCGCGTTATGGAAACCATGGCTTCGTGGTCCCAGACTGATTGAGGGAGAGTCAGACCATACGCCCACTGTATGACCGCCACACAAGGGTTCGTTCCGACCGTCCTCAACCGGCGTGCAGTGTAGTCTTCGAGTGTGGATATGCCTCGCGTCCACGTAGCTTGTGAGACACGAACACCCATGACAAAGTCATAGATCGCCGCTGCAAATCTGTCACGTGCCTCTTTCGCAAGCGTTAGCTCACCCTTGTTGACGGTTTATCAAACATCCTACCTTTGGATTGACCTTCCTGCATGGCTCGGCCCATGTTGACCCACGGCCCACAGTTGTGCAATCGACCCGGCGCTGGCACGTCGCCTTCAAGCTCCGGTTGCAGACAGTGCCTGATGAAGTTGAGTGTGTCGTCGCAATATGCCTCTGTCTTGTCACTATCATTGGTAAGCGTACCACAGTCAATCTCGTCATCCCAGAAGAAGAACTAAGCACCTAGTCAGCATTTACTATGAGATAAAGAAGGCCGAGTTCTCTACCCAGGCCACTAATTCCCCAAGGACAAGAAACTTGTCGCTCGAAACACGGGGCCAAAACTGCCCAGCACACAGTGCGGTGTCGACCTTTCTCTGCTTCTTTCTCACGCTTTCTGTACTGATGAACGTTTCGAAGTAACATTCAAGGTGTTGTCTCGACAGCTCCACATCAGGATGCAAATGGGCCTGCCACTCAGAGTATATATAGTGAACATCTGGGACATGGATTTCTTGACCTCGCAGCCGGGCTATGATCTGTGCACGGTGATCTCCATGTTTTACTGAGCCCTCTTGTGCAGCAGATGGATCATGCTTTGGAACCTCTGTGCACTTTGGAGCGTAAAGAGACTTGACGAGCTAAAAACATAAGTTTGACAGAAGGTTCTGGGCCAACAACGCAACGTACCTGTCGAACATACGACTTGGAGACCAAAGTCCACGAACCAGATATACTAGTAATCGGCATACTGTCCAACAAGGAAATTTCAATGCTAACAAAATAGATTCTATAAGAAGCCACTGATGGAACTGCACCAGCAAGAAAGACCCGATCGAACCTCTATCTATACAACCTCCACCACTGCCTCTTTCACCGTTCATCTGACAGCTTATCTACCATTCGTTTGTCTAACCTTTCACCTACCTAGGCAGATGCTCAAACGCTCATGCAATGCAAGCTCTATGGTGCCCTTTTACACTGCACTGCCAGCACACCTGGCTCTCGCTCATGTGCGCCCCCATGGCCAGCACCGCTCCCGTTGGCCAAACTCGCTGCGTGTCCCGAGTCAGCCCAGCCTCGCATGCTTCACTCAAGCGTAAGCGAGACGTTTGGGCGCAGCCCTCGTGAGCGATATGCAAGGGTTATGTGTGGTAGTACGAAATCCCCGTATGTCATTCTTACGCCCAAACGCCACCCTTTCTCTGCAGGCTGTGTCGTTGGGACATACGAGAGGTTAATTCCTCGCCTACAACCCCGTTCTTGTCACCTACAAAGCCTGCGGCTCTGGTTCGTCGGAGATGAGCACCGTTGCTTTGCTTGCAGTGAAGTAGGGCAGTTCGCCGATTTAAGAGCGCATAAGTGTGCTAGTTGCATGAGATGTAGACATATCTGGGACTTTCAACCTAGTGGCTTGCATACTAATCCAACTAAATGTGTCAAATCACACTTTCGCCTTTTTTTCCAATATCACAAGCCAATGGATATTCCACCTCGCCGAACACGTTACAATGACAAGAAGGAATAAGCAGATCCATCTCATTCCGCATCCGTTCACTCCACTCCTTCTCCTCTCGGACTCCTACAGCCGCAATCAAGGCATCCATCCTGTCTCTCGCTCCCGCCGTATACAGATACTACCTCCAGGCAATAGGCCCACGATGTCACTCCATCCAAAATAGCACTCATCGACGGAAATAACACAAGCACACCTCAGCCGCACGCCATTGTACCACCATCAGGCCTGTCACCCGTGAAAAACTCTGCCCGTCTTACCTTTTTCCGCAAAATCCGTCCAAATAAACATTGCTTCCTATATACCAAGACATCTCCCGATTAGAATGTAGGTTATGGTGGCATCGCGCTACTACTCGGCATAACTATCCCGACTTATCTCATCGTTTCCGCCGCAGAGCTACGCCGCATGCACGCGTTTACACGCTTAGATTATGCAAGGGATAGTCTACTAGCGAGCGAAAGATGCGCAGAATAATGCTAGTAGTGCGGGATTAGGATAGGTAAGCGAGGAAGCATGGGAGAGTAGCTGGAATAGGTATGTATGATGTTGGGTTGGGGGACGCTAGGTCTAAGTTTTGGGGAGATTCTTGAAGTTGGTGTTTTGGAAGGGAAGAAGAAGGCAATGAAATGGAAAGAGGAAACAGATTATTAGCTTCATTCTTTCGACCACTCTTGAAATTTCAAGCGTTGTCTGCAATATTGCGAAAAAGTCGGGCTTTGTATCACGGTATATCGACTCGACGCCATGAAATCACACATTCACGACGATATAACTGGCCGGCAAAAGTCTTCAGAGGCGTATATATTTTCTCGCAAACGAACGAATAAGCATGAGCCACGCCGACATACCAAAGATCCGATTCATCAATAAACCCAGGGAAAAGAAAACGCCACCCTTTTTTTGACGCAAAAGAAAAGACCCGGTGGAACGGGACACCCGACATCCCATTCCGCGGGTTCCCAAAATGCAGCCACTACCAGACCATGCTCTCGCCCACACCCTACTCTTTCTTCCTTCCCACTCCCCATCAACTAACATCCCTTACGACCTCTTCTTAGCATTAACGTCTCTCCCCGCCCCAACCCTAACCTTCCCACTCTTCTCTACCCTCTCCCCGGTCAATATTCCGGGTAGAAAATCCTCATCAAGCGCATCTCTCGCCTTCCTCCGTCTTCCCTCCTCCTTAACCTTCACAAATTCCTTCTGATCCTCCGCTAAGATCAAGTCTCTGCCCCAGCCTCCCTTTCCACCGCCCAAGCCTTCCTTCCACTTCGTGTTTGCGGTGCCGGCAATAGGTTTGGGGATGCTGTAGCGATCGCCGCGCTTGTTGTAGGTGTATGTTTTGGAGAGGTGGATGCGGAATTCGCCCTTGGCGTTTGTGCTGCAGGAGACACGTTGGAGGGTGGGTTGGCCGCAGCGGGGGCAGAATTGGCGTGTCATTTCTTTTGTGAGCAGGAAGCAGGCATGGCAGCGGTTGATTTTTGAGGTTACGGTTTTGATGCGTTGGAGGGAGGGGGAGAGGAGGGTTAGGTTGAGTTGGAGGAGGACGTTCTGCATGGCGTGGTCGGTCGTCATGGTTGCGAGGTCGAGTTGAGCCGGTTTAGAGGCGGTTTGGAGGTGTGATTGTAGGTCTGAGTCGGCGGCTTGGTGCTTGGAGAGATTGGTGGGAGTGATCCAGTCGCCGTCCGAGTCGGAGTCAGCGGCTGAGTCGTCGGTGGTGGGTGGGGTGGGTTGTTGGGTTATGGAGAGTGAGGACATGTCATGCTCGAGAGAAGGCTCCTGCAAGGTAGTTTCGGGAGCAGCTTCTTGTGTTGGGTGCTCTGGGGTGACGGCCAACTCTGCATTTTGCTCAACATGAATGTTTGCGCTTGGTACTTCGACTGTTGTCGACTTCTCGATAAGTCCCTGCTCACCGAGTTGTTCTTGAAGCTGCCCTTGAACTTGTTCCTGGATCTGCTCTTCCACTTTCTCCTCAACCTTTTCCACGTTCTGGCTCTCGAGTTTCTCTTCGCCCTTTTCCGCAAGCTGCTCGTGGATCTGTTCTTGGACCTGCTCATGGACCTGCTCATGAACTTGATCCTGGACTTGCGCTGCGACCTGCTCTTGAATCTGCTCCTTTACTTCCTCTTGGGTGATGGCAATCCCTCCATCCTCTTGATCGTCGTCGGCCGGAACATCTTCATCCTTCTTTTGTTCCTGAGCAGCCTCACTCTCAACCCTCTCTTCCGCAGGCTTGAAGTTAAACTTTGTCGACTTGGGCGCCCTAGCCTTAGCTGCACGCTTTCCAGTCGGCTGCTCCCAGCCCTCCTCATCTTCTACCTCACCACTCCCCAGTACCTCTTGCTCCTCCGCTGCCACCTCTTCCGCACCCTCTGCAGCCGCATTCCTCGCCTTCTCCGCCCTACGCCTTCGCTTAGCCGCGGATTTTGACAGCACACCGCTCTCCCCCGCCTCCTTGGCCAACCTCTCCCTCTCAGCCTTCTCAGCCTTCTCCCTCTCAATATCTTCAGGTCTCATCTTCACCTCACCCTTCGGTACTTCTCTAAGTCCCCAAGTCCCCCCATTCTTCTCACAATGCACTTCGTACGCCAGCGCCAAAATACCCAAATCCTGTTTGCTCAGCACGGCATGATCTCCAGTCTTCTTACTGAATTCGACAACGGCATCGTAGCTGGCTGGGTTGGGAGTTCTGATTTTCAAAAAGGGAACGAGAGTGGTTTGCACACGTGATCGGGTTGCTTCGTCCCGGACTTCACGTAGGATGTCTGGGGTTGTGTAAAGTTCTTCGGCGGAGTTAATGAGGGTGGAGATAGACACGATATTTTTGATCAGAGGACCCGTGTCAAGAATGAGTGAGTGAATGGGTTTTTGCTGGATGGAAGGCGTGGATTCCATGATGTGCGCTCTGAATTTCGACCCTTCTCTTTCTGGTTTGTATTCCGTATTTCGCTCTTTGGTGTGATGCGCACTCCTGGTTACTGGTCGGGCGCAAGATTTTGGGTATGAAAGAGTATATGACTAGGTCAAAAACGTTGTGTTGCTTGTGGGAAAGATTTCGGTCATTGTGGCGGGAAAACTAGTGGGGCGCAACTTTTTTTGGAGGGGTGTGTGAAAAAGCTCGTGGGACATGATTGGTTGGAGCCAATGACTACAGCATGACTACCAAGGTCGTTATGTTCTGACAAGGACTGATGAGTTGTTTTTTTCAGGGGTTGTAAGATATGCAATTAAATGTGCTTTGTAACCAAAAGTCAGTACGAGGATGGTTTTTGGTTGCATTATAATTATCCACTTGGTAGATGTGTAAATGTAACATTTCAAACATTCAACTACGTTGTCGTATTATATCATCTACTGCCAGAATATAACGCAGCATATCTGAGTCTATATTGGTCCTGACATGAATTCGCGATATCACCAAACGCCGCCCAATGCTAAAGTTGCGAGTCGTACCCCAGTTCTAACCGATAGTGGTATACAGTAATCGTACATCGTGGCCCTCAAACTCCCTGTGTTTTTGTTACCTCGCTCGAATTTTTTTCCATCAATATCCCTTGCGTTTCTTATGCGATAGGCCTGCTCTTCTCATCCTCTGGCATACGCATGTAGGCATCAATTGCGGCCGAGAAGACGGCAAAGCCTGCACATCCCACGGCCACAGCCTGCGGCCCAGCGTTTCTTGCCAGGATGCCTCCTGTTAGACATCCTCCTGCAACACCATTGTATAGGTCGTTCTTTGCACGGAGACCCTCGATTGCGCACTCGGTACCCGAAAATATGGCGCCGACCTTCGCGAAGTTCTTACCAGAAGAGATGGAAGAACGATACATGTCGCGTAGACCAGCGCGGAGTTGTTGCTTCAGAGGGAGTTCGGTGATTGGAACGGTCCCTGCTGCAGTGGGGTTGGGTAGGGTGGCAGCGGCGGAGGATGAGGATGTACTTGAAGCGACTGTCGAGGGTTTTACACCTGCTGCAATTGAAGTGCTGGGTGCTGAGGTTGTTGGTGTGTTCATTGGAAGTGGTTGTGACATGGGTGTATCATATCGCATCTGATCTATGTCAGACTACATCCTCTCGCACCTGGACGAAGATTGGATATACATACCGACGACATGAACAGCCCAAACATGGCACCCAGGCCTCCTCCCATGACACCAGCCATGACCGTCTTGCCTAGACAAGACTCCATACCCATTTGCATCTACGAGTTATGAGCTGAATGTCCGTGCTACATTCCTAGGCCGTCCATACCGCTTTCACCATTTGTTGTTCCTGCTCTGACATACCGGCGGTTGGGTTCATGGATGCTGGCATCGCGCCCGGACCTCCTGGAAACGCCATGGCTTGTAATCGAAAAGGAAAGAAAAAGGAGGAGCAAGAAGGTGTGGAGGAAAAGGACGATGTGACAGTTGCTTGTTGCGATGCGATTGCGATGCGCCGCCACTACGCAGGAACATTTTGCGGAGTTCAGAGCGGAGGACGGAAAATGCCGGAGTGTGGGGCTTGGCAATCCTCCCAACAGTCCAACTCTTCCAGAAAGGCGGTGGATGAGTGCACACCACTTCTCACATGAAACAAACAAATAAATTAAAAAAAAACTCTTGTGTTATCAATTTGTTCAAATTTGTTCATTATGCTTCTATCGACAATACATGTCAGCCCGAAGCTAGGTCTCAACACTTTATTTACAATTGCGCCAACGCCATGCTTTTCAAACGCTACTTGCAAAAACCGCCTACTACATGTGGTCAATATTGAATAATACACTGATGTGTGGTGGCGTGGCTTCATAATGCTGGATATCACTAGTGGGAATGCTACAAAAACCCTTCGTTAATTCATGTAGTCGCCATGGGCGTAGTCTTGGTTTCTCGACTCTGGGGGAGGCGTCAGCTGCTTCTCCCACTCCTTCATCAGATGCGAAGCCGTACGCTTCAAGTTGCTAGGCGAGACTTTTGTCATGTCGGGCCAGGTGATGGAAGAACGCTTTTGTTCGCGAGGTACAAAGTCGTCTTGGTTGATTGAGGTGAGCGACGAGGCTTTAGAATCATGGCGTTTGGCATGATACCTGGCGCTGCTGCTGGTGTTGGAGTTGTCCAGGCCGGAGATGGACGAATTGTGGGTGTCAGAGTCGTCCGAACTGTCCTTGGGATCTGTGACGTCTACCAGGAGCGAGTCATTGGGGGTGTCCCAATTGTCCCAATCTTCCTCGGAAGCCACTTTGCGTATTTGCTTTTGTGGAGTACTTGTGCTCTTGATTGCCTGCGTCTTCTTGTTCGTGGCCGTAGCCTTGGGGTCACTGAGACCCATTTCTTTCCAAAAGTCATCGCCAAAGGAGCCAGTCTGTTGTGTCGACTTCTTGGAGCTAGCAGAGCGACTAAGTGGGGGGCGAGTTTCAGACGATTTGCGGTTAGTCTTGGAACCCTTGGCGCTAGCGGAACCAGAAGCAGAGTCGGTGGTGTGAACTGCCTCGTCGCCAACGGTAGCCTGACGGATGTCTTCGATAAAAGTAAACAATCCCTTCTTGAAGTCGGTAGCCATTTGTGTGCCGGCACGGATGAGCTGCTCGCGCTGGATGGTTGGCATGCCACCCATGTCATAACGGTCATGCTCTGCGGGGGAGACTAGTGGGCGCGTGATTTCTGACGAAGTGGACGTTCGCGCGGAATGCAGAGGCCGCATGCTGGGGGATTGGTTGTCCAAAAGGTCGGCAGTGTGGGGAAAGGAGGGCGAGTCGACGCGGTCTGGGGAGAGGAGCGACAGGGTGCGCAAATGGCGCGAGCCACTGAAGACCTTGCGTTGTGCGGGCTTGGAGTGGCTGAGGAGGTTCTTCCTGCGCTCCATTTCCTTTTGCATTGACAGACCCGAGGCATCGTCATCGAACAGGGTGGGCGGGGAGTTTGCAAGCGAAGTATCCAGAGGTTGCAGCGGAGCCACTCTGCGCACCTGGTTGTGGCGCTTACTGGCTTCATGGCGGGCCCAATGCGACTTGAGCATGTTCAAGTCGGCTTCCGCCTTGCTCAGTTCCTCCTTGAGCTCCAGCACATAACGCTCCTGGGCAGCGAGGACGGCGAGAATGTTGGTCTCGTGAGGCGTCTCCTGGGGTTCCGGCGAGGGGGTGGGTGAGATGCCATTCATCCATGACTGAGGGCGCGTGCGTGTGGCAGAAGCGGGAGTGGCTGCGGATGCAGTGGGTTGGATAGGGAACTGCAGCGAGAGGCGCTTGCCCTGGCCGACAATGTCCACCGTCTTTGAACGGGAGTGCGCCGACATGGCTTTTGCAGGAGGTTGGGAGGGAGAGGCGGGCATGGAGGCGGCGTGGGCAGATGATATTTCGGCGTAAGATAACGGGTCTGCCCCTTTGTGGTGCAGGGTTTGTGTCTGTGCTCGATCCATGGCAGGTGGTGGACCACGATCTGACAGAGGATTCGGCCTGCGTTGCGTGGTTGCGAGTGCACAGAAGAGGGTTGGGAGATGAAAGCGGCGAGCGAGTCGGTGAAGAATAAGCGAGGCGGCGGCTGGGGAGCTGCCGTAGACTTCGAGGTAGAGGGCCAGAAGGGCTGTGGGTGGTCCGACCAATCGGAGCAGCAGCGAGCCTCGAAACCAAGAGAACCACGATCTCAAGAGCGCTGGACCGGCGGTGGAGCGAGAACCCATACCGGAGACATTGAGGAGGGCATTTGTGGCGGGCGTGAGAGATGTCAAGAGCAGACAGCGAGCATTCATCTCCTTTGCACTGCAGCCGGAGCCGTAGTCTTTGAACCCGTGTCTCTCATGCGCTCACGAGCTCAGGCCACAAACAAGCCGGATTGGGAACCATTTCCTGGCGATGAGGTTCCTGGGGGTTACCTGGTTGCGTGCCCTTGTCCATGTGTCGTAGAAGGAAGTGCATCGTGGCTCAACGGCGCGCTGGACGCTGGAGACTACATCTTTTGTAGTCGGCAGCAGAGTAGGGGAGTAGCCACGGCCGCCATGCTGTGTCGTGGCAGCGCCTTGTGCACGACACGTCGAAAAAGCACCTGTTTGCATGCGCCGTGCCTGGCATGCACATCCTCCGTGTCTGATAATACCGTCGACGCATCTATGGACGGATTGGACTGGATTGGATTGGCATCTTCGGAAATGAGGGGCCAGGCCACGTAATTCGACCATTGAGAGAGAAAAAAGAAGCCCCTGGATGCAGCAACAGCAGCGCTACTATCAACGTGCCTGTGTGTCTCTGTCCGTATCCTGTCCGTCGTGTTGTTGCGGTGAACGGGTGCATGTCATGAGCGTATGTGTAGACCAAGCATTCATACACATGATGCCTGTCGGGTGAGGCTATTCGCGCCTCGTGAGACCAGCACAACCATGGTTGCCAGCCGCAGGCGCACAACCACTGCCCGCCCTGCCCTGAAACACGCTGTCTGCCGAAGATGCTCTGGACCGCCATCCCATGTGACGAGATGTCATGGTTGATGCGCTGCCGCTCGCGCTGCCCAGTGAGGCGTCTTTTTGTCCTGGCAACCGCGTCGCCATGCTCTCTCCTCCACGCCAACCCAAAAAGCATCCCGCCTCGGCACTCCCAATGCGGCCCGCCCAAGGCGTCCCATCCGCCCGTACATGCAACTGGTAACCAAGAGGCCCAACATGGGGGCTCAACGTTGATGCCACCACCTCCGCTGCCACTACCCGCTGGCTGTGGAGCTTATGCAGGGCGGATAGTCAGCCATCGAGATGGTGTACCCGCCGTCTTCATAGCCAGGAACCCGCTGCTCTTCCTCCTCTGCTAGCCTGGCGCGAAGTCGCCTTCCGACATTGGCTCTGCTCATTGAATCGCATTGCAACGCCGTCATTCAATTTGGTTTTGTGGCGGCTCAGCTTGGGTGCCCTGCGGCTCCGTGTTTGTGGCAATACCAAACCAACGTCATGGTGGGGGGTTGTGCGTTTGTTGATGGAGGCGAGCTCGTTGCCTCGGCGATGGCAGGGCTGAGGACCCTGCGCTCCGGTGGATATACACCACCACCAACCGTCGCCGCGGACATGTAGTACCATCCCATCCCACACCCTATTACTATCTGCCATTTCCTCCTGGATCCGCTCGCCGTGCGCGCCCTGTCCTCGTCTCGCGACTTGTCTTACCGCCACTTCACCTCGCAGCTCACGACCACCCAAAATGTCGCCTACCATGGCCGAGGGCTACCAGGTCATGGAGGAGCTGGGCAGTGCGTATTATCCCCTGCACTATCCACAATCGCTGACCAAGCTACAGGCGGGAGTTTCGGCAAGGTCTTCAAGGCAATCGACAAGACCACCGGCGAGACTGTGGCCATCAAACACGTATGCATCCACATCTACCCCGGGCGATCCCCCATACTCATCCCCTATAGATCGACCTCGAAGACAGCACCGAAGAGTTGGCCGATATCCAGGCAGAGATCTCGCTCCTGAGCACTTGTCACAGCCCCTACGTCACCGAGTACAAGACCAGCTTCGTCAAAGGCGTCAAGCTATGGATCGTCATGGAGTACCTGGGCGGAGGGTCGGCTGCCGACTTGGTATGCTCAACCACAAACCCTCCATCGATTTCTTGACTGATTTGAGTAGTTGGCACCCGGAACTTTCAGCGAAGCACACATTGCCATTACATGTCGAGAACTTCTCCTCGGACTCGACTACCTCCACTCGTCCGGCAAGATCCATCGTGATATTAAAGCCGCCAATGTGCTCCTCACCGACCAAGGCAAGGTCAAGCTGGCCGACTTTGGTGTTGCCGCTCAACTCACTAACATGAAATCTCAACGTATGACGTTTGTCGGCACCCCGTTTTGGATGGCTCCGGAAGTGATCCAAGAGGCTGGCTATGACTTTAGAGCCGACATCTGGTCCTTGGGAATTACCGCCATGGAGTTGGCAGAGGGTGCACCTCCGCACGCAGGATCCCACCCCATGAAGGTCCTCTTCACAATTCCCAAAAATCCGGCACCCAGGCTAGAGGGCGACCACTGGAGCAAGGATTTCAAAGACTTCATTGCTCAGTGTCTGGTCAAAGATCCCGATCGACGTGCATCGGCCAAGGAACTGTTGAAGCATCGCTTCATTCAGCGAGCGGGCAAGGTTGAAGCTCTCCGCGAGTTGGTTGAGCGCAAGCAGATGTGGGACGCCCAGAGGGAGCAGCAGGCGGCGTCTCAGCGCAAGTACTATGAAGAGACAATGTTAGTGTATACTCAAGTTTTCTCAAGAAGATGCTAACAGCTTTGCAGGGTTGACTTCTCTGCCAAGGCCGAAGATGACGATGCATGGGACTTCGACACAGTCAAGCGCGGAACGGTGGCCCCACGATCAGCCGTGAAGCAACTGCAACGGAAGTCCACTCGGATACCCACCGCCGTGGATGAGGCACAGAGTGGGATGCAGCGCATGGACCTCAACGCAGCACCATTGGGTGACGTCACAGAGTCACCAGCGTCAACTCGTCGTCGAACACCCCCTCGACCACAGTCTCAAGTCACGGCGTTGAGAGTTCCTTCTGGCAACACACCAACTGCCCGCCGAGTTAGCAACATCGGCCAGCCTAGCAATCTTAGCAACGTGACCAATGCCAGCACCGCCAGCAAGCAGCCACTGGGTGTTGACCTTACATTTGGCAACTCCCCATCGACTGTGCGACACTTTAAACGCGTTTCGTCAGATGAGCGTCGAGCTCCAGCACGCTCGAACAACACAAATGAGCAAACCAGCCAGGGCAATCAGTCATTCCATCCAAATCCCGAAGCCCGCACTTTCCGGCCGTCTCCACCAAACTCTAACCATCCGCTCGATTTCAACAACGAGAATGAGCCACCCAGCCCCGACAATGCGCATATGCCTATCACCAAGGATGCACTGTACGGTCGACGGGCCTACAGCAAAGTCTTGGATTCGGTGTTCCAAGAAGCACACGCAGACACTGCATCACCTCGGCAGCGGGATGCGATCGGTCGCGTCGCTCAGGCGTGGCAGCATCTCGATGAAGTCGACCCACATGGCGAGTTCATGCTTCTCAAGAACATCGTCGATCGTCTGAAGAACGATGCGAAGCTTGCCTCTGCACTCGGTATTCAAGTCTCGTCATCACAATCACCATACCGGCACAACACCAAGACCAGCGAAATCAGCCTGGGAGGTACTACTGTGCACGGATCAGGAACCAGTCGAATCCGCCCCAGCACTTCGAATACGTCCATCTCAACAACAGCCAGTAAAAGTTCAGAAGACTACGAACGCGCTCCCTCTACTCCAGCAACACCCATGAGCGGCGGTTCTCCAACCAAAGCACTGAAACCCGCAAAGAAGTCTCCACAACTCAAATCCCACAAACGTCCCCAGAGCGCACTTCTGGTGGGCGAAAAGGGCTTCGGTGCTGAGGCTCTTGGAGCCTTTGATGAAAAGAAGTTACCAGGCTATGTTGAGCCTGGCATGGAACAACAAGCACTGCTTGCTGACATTCTCTACGGCCAATGGACTCAGGGCTTGCGTGCCCGCTGGCCCGTTGCTTAGACGTTTTTCTTCTATGTGTCACAAGTAGACGCTAGACTTTGTAGATGACTGCTTGGACCGACAAGACAAAGTCGGGTTTCTTTTTTCTTTTTTCGTATTTCCCTGGTATCATTTTCATACGACATCAAATTGCGAGAAAAAGCGGCGCAATCTTCTGGTTCCTTTTGGCGTAGTACGACGGGAACTCGTTAACGACTGATGAAAGCGGCTCATGACTCTGGGTTATGAGATTTTAACGAGGAGTAACCGTTGGACTGCCCTGGTCAAGGCATTGGTATAGGTGTTCCTTTGGGGATTTTCTTTTCGGTTCACGAATGAGGCATTCGAATCGGGGCAAGGGCATGATTTCAGCTGTTTCTTTTATTTGTATAAACCAGACTTTTAGCTCGTTTCTAATTAAAATGCCGCCGTTGTGGTTTTTTCATCCTGTCTACGACTCGTTTCGATCTGCGGTGGCTGGGGTAAGTTCAATGCTTAGCTCGAATCGATACGGTGGGTTTTGCCCCGCCCCCGGATGGCACTTTCCACTTTACTCCGCTTCTCCATATCTTGTCTGGAAACAAAAAGTTTTTTTTCCCTCTCATAGCTATACCAAGAATAAATGAAAGAAAACTAGAACATCGCGCAAACCTCACTCCAAACATGCTCTTTCCCAATCTCTAATCCCCGGGGAACCGCGACATACCAATGACAAAATCAACTCATTATGTAGCTTCTCTCTAACAAGTACCGCGGAGCAAAAAAAAAGTCCTTAAACCACGCAATCTCAACCCTTCCTTCCCGCACCCGCTCTCCTCCTTCTCCAACCACACCCGTGCTTTACTCCAACGCTTTCCCGTAGACGTCAGTGGCTTCCTCACCCCTGCTTCCACGCCCATCCGGACAAAACCATGTGATTCTATCCTTCCCGCTGATTGGCCGTGAGCAACAACGAGGCGGAAATAGTCTTAGCAAGCACAAGTCCATTCCTGTCAAACAAACTCAATGCCCGTGTTGGGTATAAATAGTGGCTGGGGGGCTGGTACAAGCATGCAAGTCAAGCTTTTTTTTTCTTAAATTAAACGCTGAGGGCAGAAGCGACTCGGCGGGAAAAGCTTGGTGTTGCTTGTTATTCCTCTGTTGCGTCTTTTGGAGTATTATTAACCGCAACTTTTTTTTTGGAAGTGCGAAGAGATAAGGGAGGATTTGAGGACTGGTTAAGGAGGTAAAAAGAGAAAAGATGAAGATGCAGATGAGATGGGGTGGAGTTGTTGCGCTGGTTGTTGGGGGGGTTGGTGCGGCGCCGCCTTCGACGCTGACGACGACGGTTTCGGCGGCGGAGGATGTGGGGAGGAGTACGATGGATGTTTATCCGCCTTCTGGGAGTAAGTTTTCGTCTTCATTTTGACGGAGAGGGAAAGATGCTAATGGTGTGTGTGTTTTTTTTTTTAGCTCAGGCTGATCCTTCGCTTTTTCCGCCCGAGGAGGTGGTTGGGTTTCCTGGACGTGAGTATAGTTAAGGAGATGGTAAGATGGGTAAAACGCTGACATGATATGTAGCGACACCGACTGGAGTTGAGCCCAATGCTATCGAGACTGCGCCGTCCTATCCGTATAATGACCAGGCTGCGTTTTCTTGGCCGCTGATCAAGCCCCAGCCGCATGGAAGCGGGTCTCAATCTCCTGACTTTGATATTTCAAAGTATTGGGGTAATCTCAGCCCGTGGTACTCTGTTCGCAGCGCCGATTATGGTTTGCCAGATGCTAGTCCTTTGATTCCGGAAGGATGCGATATCACGCAAATGCATCTGCTATACCGCCATGGAGCCAGGTATCCCACCAGCGATGCCGCACCAGCAAAATTTGCTTCGAAGCTTTCCAATGCCACCAAAACCGGACTTTCGTTCTCTGGAGAACTCGCCTTCTTAAGCAACTGGAGGTATAAGCTGGGTGCTGAGCTTCTTACACCATCCGGTCGTAGCCAAAACTTCATGCTGGGAATCGAGTACCGCCAGCTCTACGGCCATCTCCTCAACAACTTCACTCAATCCGGAAAGATACCAGTATTCAGAACCCAGAGTGAAGACCGCATGGTACACACAGCCGAAAATTTCGCCGCCGGCTTCTTCGGTGTTCCCGAATATCTCAACCAAGTCAACATCGAAATCCTCGTCGAAACCCGCGGCCTCAACAACTCAGGCGCCCCCTACGAAGTCTGCAACAACTCCAACATCGCCTCTCGCGGCAGCATCGGTAGTACTGTCGCCTCTCAATTCGCTGTCAATGCCTTCAACGCTACACTCGCGCGCCTCCAGTCCCAAGCCCACGGCGTAACCCTAACCCCCTCCGACGCAATCTCCATGCTCCAACTCTGCTCTTACGAAACCCACGCCCTGGGCTTCTCCCCCTTCTGCGCCTTGTTCAGCGAACAAGACTTCATAAACTACGAATACTATTTCGACCTCTCTTTCTACTACAACAACGGGCCCGGATCCCCCGTCTCCGCTGCACAGGGGAAAGGATATCTCGATGAATACATTGCGCGTTTTACTCATACGTTTCCTGCGCCGAACTCCGCGCTGAACGAGACGTTTGATAATACTTCGACGTACTTCCCGCTTGATCAGAGTATCTATGCAGATGCGACGCACGAGGTTGTGGTGCTGGATGCGCTTGTGGCGTTTAACCTTACTGCGTTGTTTAAGGGTGAGCCGTTGAGTGCGAGGGGAGATGAGGGACGGAATACGTTTGTCGCGAGTAAGCTTGTGCCGTTTGCAACGCATTTTACCACCCAGGTGCTGGAGTGTAGGGAGAGGGTGCCGAGCAAGCAGGTTAGGTTTATTGTGTATGTCCCCCCCCTTCTTTTCCATCTCTGTCCAAGCGGTTATTGTTTGGGCAAACGGACGGATTTGCTAATGTGTGCGTATAGGAACGACGCTGTAGTCCCAATCCACGAGTCCCACCCCGGATGTCCCGAGGACGCAGATGGACTTTGCGCCTTCGACAATGTGGTCGAGGTACTCAAGAAGAGGAGTGCCGAGATCGATTTCAACTACGATTGTTTCGCAAATTATACGGCTGTGCCTGGTGTGAACTACAACGGGCGAGCACCAAGATAGTCGAGTTCTCATAAGCTAAATACCTAGACTTCTCTAACTACCCTTATTCATCACACTGGAAAAGTACACAGGACTCTGTACATATCTGCACACACCTAATATCATACATGTATATTTTTACTTTTAAATATCTTTATCTGATCTATTACCCCCTCTTCCCATCCCCCTGATCGATCCAGCCGACCCTTATACCCTATCCGCCTGTATCTTATCCAAGTCCTCTTTCCTGCCCCTCCCCCTCCCACTCCCATCAAACCTCTCACTAATCTCAACCCGAAAGTCCTTTTGCACATTAACCTGCAACCCATCCAAGCTCGCCTTCTTCACAATCCTCTTCTGACTCCCATCATCCCTCGCATCCAAACTCTCCTCACTCCCATAATCCTCTAAATCCCCATATATCTTCGTCTCAACCCCCGTTCCTTTACTCTTCCCATTGAGATAATTCCGCGTGCGACTTGACTCCGGGCGCTGCTGTTGCTGCTGGTCGTCGAGTTCAAGCCACTTATTTTTGGAATCGATGGCGTTGCTGGCGGAGGGGCCACCCGGGTGTGGCTTTTTGGAGCCGAAGATGCCGGAGGCGTAGGAGCGCGAGTTACTGCCGGACCAGGTGGAAAAGCGCGCGATGGCGTGTTTGAGGAGGGGATGGCAGGCGGGTAGGTTGGCGACGAACATGCCGACGTTCATTTCGGCGGTGGCCCAGGCGAGGATTGCGCCCAGGTTCTGGAGGAGGCGCGAGGCGTCATTGAGGCCGATGAGGTATTTTAGGCGGACGATAGGGGCGATAGAGGCGCTGGGGTTGTGTTAGTTTGGGGGGGTTTGTGAGTGTTGAAGGGTTGGACTCACAAGATTCCGAGACCCAACATGGCCATTACACCACCCTTTACGCGCCAGTCGAGTTGAACGTCCCAGAGGAGGAAGATGGGGAGTGTGGCGAAGATCCAGTCTGTGGAGATGGATACTACGGCTACGGCGTAGGAGAGGATGGTCTGCGTGCTGCGCTCGCGGCAGTAGCCTTCGACTTTTGTGTCCCAGTTCTTCCTGGATTGTGTGTTAGTACTTGATGTTCCCCTTTGAGTGATTCAGGATTACTCACTGTACTGGCATGCACTGGAAGAACAGGTATATGCCTGTTCCACCCATAACGATGAAGCACAAAAGCATGCTAATGTAGATGACATATTCGATCCATTTCTTGCCGCTTGCAATTCGAATCAGAGCAAATCCGATACTGCACTTGATTGTGACGAGGGTAAAACACCATGGTTCCTGGAAGACGTAGAACCACTGCTTACTGATTACTATGTTGCTAACTGAGCGAATAGGGGGGAGAAGCATACCCGCAGGGAGTTCATATATTGAGACTCTGTAAGGGTGGCATCATATTGTCCAATACCACTCCATGCCATGCCTATGGTGGCAATTGTGCTTACACTCCAAAAGGGCTGTATCAGTGTCAGTCAAGTTGTACACAGGATTGTGGATCCAGAGGCCTTACAATGTTGATCAACATGGCCCAGTCATCGGGACCCCACGCCTTCCTCTTTGTCCGTATCCAGAAGCGCAGGATAGTAGAAATTATGTCAAAGGGAAGCGGGACTAAGACGGCCAAGGCCATGGGATAGGATGTCGGCGCCATGGTGACTATGTCTGTCTACAGTCCTCACAGGTGAATAGAAGTGTCAGATGGGCCAGCCAACTGTTATGAACCGCGACGATTGAATGGACTAGACTTATGGACCTGCAGGTCGTGGGGTCTGTGGAGAAAATAAAGGGATACAAGGGAATGTGCACAAGGGCAGTGCCTGAGGCATCACGTACGATATCCGTGTGCTCAGAGTCCATTGATGCATTCTGCTATGAGCCGCACTTGGAACGGGCAGCCCGTTTACATCTCGGTTCCGTCGCCTTGGTACCCCAACGCTGTATCGCCTTAGTCACAGCAGTCACTTTGTTGTGCCGATCGTTAGAACCGGAGTTGTGCCGTCGAGAATCAAGACTTGAGGATGGCCAACGGGGGGTGCCGGCGTGGGATGTGCGCTAGTTTGAGCCACTACCGTTCCGATAGTGCCGGCATTACGCGCGGCGGCATACATTCCCCGACCCACTTCACTGTGGACATTCCATATGAAACGAGCCTCACGACGGGAAGATTTTTCCTATGCCATTCACGAACAACATTTCCAGGCCAATAGGAGTTGCCTCCGTCGTCGTCTCAAGCTAGCAGCATCTATGGAAGGTATGCCTCTTGTCTCGACGTCGCGACCATCTTGCCTATGAATCGTAGCACCGTGGGCCCAAAGACCTCGCCAGATTTCTTATCACAATTCTCAACGCTTAGTATCCTGATAGCAGGTGTATGCTTGCCTGTCAACATCTCTGAGCAGGGTGCTTGGATGTAAGTATTGTCGCCGAACGAGGTAAGTAGTTCGCGCGCTTTTCCTAAACACCATCAACCCACTCGTCTCGAGGGTTACGTCTGCTTGCATATCTTCGCACCAGCACACGTGCACGCGCAAGGCTGTGTTTGAGCATGCAAGGCAGGACACCCAGGCCCCATCCCGCATGCCAAGACTGATTGACAGCTCCCTTGCAAAGGGATGCCCTTGCCAAGGGATTGATGTGTTGTATCGGCACGTTTTAGCACCTTCGCCAAAAATATCCAATTCTCAGTCTTGCATTCTATTCGCGAGAAATTTCCGTCCACAACCCAGCTAGCCGTTGCTTGCAATATAATTCGACATAATCCTTCCCGAAGGATTTCGGCCAACAGTTGCGTTATCATCCTTGTCTTGCAAAGTAACTCACCACGTATTTTCTCATACGATATTAGGCGTTTCCTCGGCCAATCCTCCCTATGGCAGCCCCGTTGGAGTGAAATGAAGATCTTCACCGCCCCGATCGAGGCGAGACCGGACGTCCGACTCCACATCGGGGTTATACTAATCCTATCCTAGTCCTTACTCCAACGGTTTTATCAAGTCAAGGGTTCCCCGCTACAGTTGCTAGTCGAGGCTGTCAAGCGGAGGTTGATACTGTCAGTTGCTACCGCTGAAAGATAGGTCCGATACTACATAACGTCGTGTTTCGTGCAGCTTTTCTCCTCTTTCTATTCCCCAAGCACATATCCAACCTTGTTAGATTCTGAGACTAAATCCATCTGACCCTTACAAAACTTCTACGAAAAACCCGACAGTATGGCACCAGCAAGGACTAATGAAGCAACGGCACCCGCAAGGGTATTCGAAGGCAAACTTGCCATTGTCACTGGATCGTCAAGGAGTAAGTGCTACTTGACTGCAAAGTCACCAATGTCGTCTTTCTCGTGACGACATGTGTCGTGAGATCGAACACTGACAAACTTTCCCTCGCTTTAGGTTTCGGCGCAGCAGTTGCAAAACATCTTGCCGAACGTGGTGCAAACGTGGTTATCAACTATGCCACTTCAGCTTCTGATCAGACTGCTGCTGATCTCGCAGCTCATCTATCCAAAACATACGGCGTGAAGGCGGTCCCTGTGCGTGCTGACTTGCTCGATCCCACGGCCCCTGCAGCCCTTGTCGAGGCCGCAAAGAAGCACTTCTCCGACCCCTCTGCAACCCCCAGCTTCCAGATCGACATCATCATCAACAATGCGGCACTTGTGAATTCTCAGCCCATCCAAGAGCTTGACGTTGAGCTATGGGACCAGACATTCAACCTCAACTGCAAAGCACCCGCGCTACTCATCAAAGCAGCGTTCCCCTACCTTCCCCATGATCGATCGGGCAGAATCGTTAACATCTCGTCTGCAACCACGACATGGGGTCTTATCCAGCAGACTTCCTATGCTGGAACCAAGGGCGCCATCGAAGCTATGACCCGTGTTTGGGCACGTGAGCTCGCTGAGCGCTGCACCGTCAACAGCGTCTCTCCTGGCCCTATGGACACTGGCCTACTCAATGGACTTCCTGAAGCCCCAAGGCAAGCACTAAGAGCGTACAATGCTCTGATTCCTCTGGCCAAGGAACGACCCGGTGTGGACTCTGAGGATATGCTCAGGCTAGCGGGCGAGATTGGCGGCCGACCAGGTACCTTGGAGGAAGTAGCTGGCATCGTCGGAATCGCCTGTCTACCCGAGAGTGGATGGATGACAGGCAACCAACTCGGTGCCAGCGGCGGTGGTGCGTTTGTAAGATGATGTGCCTAAACTAATTTTGAAAAAATGTAAAACAACTTTCCCTTCCTTTTCCGTTCTTCGAAGTGATCTACTCTTACTAAGAACTTTATGTTCAACGGAGAATTATTCAGTTCTACCATCTGTCTCACCACCTTGCCGTCCAAGATCCGATCTACATAACTCTCTTCCTATTGTTGATGTCAGCCCCGTCTGGCCATCCCCTTGTCCCGGGCCACCGTGCAGTTCCGCCAACGTGGGTATGTGTGTCCCATACGTACTTCTTTTGCAAGGGTGACGTGACCTTAACACACATATGCGCCTGTCATATACCGTTGTCGTCTCTTGATTCGGTCCATGCGAAACAGCCTAGTATACTTCTCACCTAAGTACGTTGCATCCTGCGCAGTCTCGAATTACCTTTTTGAGACATCCCCCCCTTCCACATACCGACTTTACCACTCCGCCCCGCCTTCGCAACTCATTATGAATAAAAAGCTTGTTGGCTATGCTAGTCTTTTGCTACGGAGGTGCTGTTCCAAGAGCCCCCCACGTCGGCAATTTAAAATTAAAATAATGGGGCGGGACGCTTTTCTTTTTTGGCTGACACATGGACATTTTGGCAGCCCAGCAAATGTCCAACGACAACGGGCGCGGCGGCGGCTAAACGAGGAACATAATAGTTCGCATCACCCCTGCTTATAACACCCCCGTTTTTTATCTTGGCTCCGCGGCGAATCATCGTCTTGGACATCCAGCATCCTGAAGGACTTTAGTTTTTTTCTTCCCGCCCTGGTGGATAACGTACTTTTACTTACCCAGTGTGGGTAAAAGGTTCTTGGGCATATATGTGCAGATCCTGTCGTCTATACTTGTGCATGTTTTTTTTTATGCTTCTCGGTGGCAGAGGTTGGTCATATCGCGCAATGCGACGGGGGCGGCACGGCGGGTTGCGATGTTGCGTCGCGTGGAGTTACGTATCATCGGGGCTGGTGGCGCGTGCGTTGGAGAGGGGATGTTACTGTCTTGCCTCGAGTTGCAAGCATGGTGTTTCGGGGAGTTTGATGAGAAAGGAGGTGTAGGATATGAATTCGCCTTTTCTTGCCCCTCGAGAAATTGGTGATGCGCGAGGATCTGCGCTGCGAGTTTGGCTCTGTTGTTGTTTATCACTAGTAGTGATCTGACTTGCATGTAGCATGTGATACTTCCAAACAATTGCTGCTTACGTGGGAAGTTCATTTCATTGTATGTCTCAGAGTCATGGTGGATCGAGATCTGGCATGAATAGTAATGCCGCTCCTTGATTGAGCTCCTTATTCTGGACACCATGGCAATCATGCATTGGAGACATGTGGATCTGGAAAATGAGTAAGTAAATGCACATGGCCTGTAATGGAGACAGACAACCGAGATAGCCGTGGGTCTAAACATAGTATGTTCGGATATCTACACCGACCATTGTACAGTTGGGCATATTGTTGAGTGACGTGATCGAGGATTAGGACGAGTCGTCTTGAACAGCCCATCGACTGATATCTCTACTGACAAATAAAGCTAGTTTCGCGAAAACATCCGTGCACATTCTACGAAGCATCAACAGATACGTGTTGTTGGAAAAGGACCAGGATCGGCTTTACTACAGGTATTATTGGTCCTGGTCGCTAGGTTATGGTCTTCGGCAGATCTCGGAGAGCTAACATTCTAGAAGAACATGCTCTAGTGACGAGTAGCCCATCTGAAAGTTCACTATAGTTGTCGATACCGAGATTGTATAGCTGACAAGCCATATACAACAAGCATTATAGACAATAGAGGCAACTCTGTGAGCAAGTGCGTGGAGGTATTACCAATAACGGTTAGACTGAACTTAGATTATTATCTACACTATGGCGTTCGCCCTCCCACTACCCTAATGCCCCGTCGACACTCAATGGATATAGAGATGCCCCTATTCACTTCATGTCTGTAAACGAAAGAGCTAAGCTTGGACGTCGTATAGCTCTCGGCATTATCATTGAAACCATGGTCAACATCGCCCCGTCTACGGAGACGGTGGTACTTGTAAATACTGGCAGAACCGTTTCTGTAGGCAGTTCCGTAATCTGTCGAAGAAGATTGAACTTACAAGCGTATGCCTACTTACTTATATACAATGCTGGTGAGTATATGACGAACGTACTCCTGATATAAGCGCCTTCTTAACTCCGTTGAGCATAAGAATGACTCATATGATAAAAAGTTTCAAGGATTTAGCGATATTCTGTTAACATCATTACAGTTGCCAATTTGCGTGGAAGATATACAAGCCCCTCTGCCGTTAAGACCGTCCAGTTGTTAGTCAGCATGTTACTGGACTACTAAATCTTTGCTCGCGTGAACTGTTTCTCATACCGAGTTCGAACTGCTCATAATTCGTTCCCCAGTACCTGTTTGCCCAACTCATTTGATTCAATATGGCGAGAACCGTCAGCCGAATCTCTTCAGACTCCCGACTATCCCTATCCCTTGTTAGATTTCTGAGCGCCGGATTTCGGAAGCGTGCTAATGGTGTCTGGTACCACTGCACCCGCTCTTCTGGCGAGTTGTTCCATCCACTTGAGCATCAATCCCAATAGAACATACAGACAAACTTGTTTCTGTACGGACGTGTAGTGTACGAGCTTATGACAGGATTCTGGCCGGGAGAACGCATGGGTAAACTGGGACAGGAGACTGCGATGATGATTCCGCGGAAAGACTGGCCACCGCTTGAGGTAGAGTGTATGGGTGAGATTGTGCGGAAGTGCTGCGAGGGGAATTTTGCGGATGCAGAGCAGTTGAAGATGGAGGATTGAGGGGAATGATGATTTGAAAGGGTTTGATGTTGCGAACCTATCCTTGAATTAACAGGAAAGCAGGAATCCACGGGGCAAAATCATTCCATCTGCGAATACTAGTATGTGTCTATTGAAGCTTAATAATCACACTCATTATACTTAGCTATTGTAGATGGTTCCAAAAACTAAAACCCTAATATAAGTGTATATTGTAGAGATTTGATAATACGATCCATGACCATATAAATGTCATTATCTGCATATATCTAGAGAATAGCAAAGACACCGAAAGCCATACTAAGTCACCGACAGGTCATAATTTCTTTCTCGAAGCCCTTGGTATGAACGATCCAATTAAGTTCTGTGTTCTTGGTACTGCGTTGTCATACTAGCCGTTGCTGTTCTAATTGCAGCCTATAGATTTTATGATCAGGAACCCATGCCTTGTGTCCAACGGCGGCTGGTAGACAATCTGAACTGATTAAGGAACATAGATGTAATATATAAGGTCCGATACTTGTCGGACATGTGAAGCTATGTTCGAGTATCATCGGATTGGTACTGTGCATTCTGGCCGGCGTATTCTAGACCATATCCGACAGCTGCAGGATAAATGAAATCGTATCCAGTAGCTGTCGGTTGAGGAGAGAATGATGAAACAATTTCGCTGTCGAGACATACACACCTTCTATTCGAGGTTACCGAGATAACTGCTGAAACTTATTTGCGCGCTCTTAGACAACGTGCTTATTTCTCAAAGCGCGAAATATTCTGCAGGGTTGGTGTTTCTTGGGACAGCATCCACACACTTTTGAGATAGATATCGTCTAGAAATTGCGATATTGGTCAGAAATCTTTTACATGTATTCAGCTTGCTAGTTTTCATTTTTTCATATCCTGTTTAGTGATGAATGATCACAAGGAATGGCCATATCGGGGAAGTCTTTCTGTAAGGTAGAATTTGACATAGAACAGATCAATAGTCCTTGGTGTGATGTCTAATTGATGCATATCAAAATCGATTTATTGTGTAAATCCGTAGAGAGTGGTTATTTTCTAGGTGAAGTTTTGCATATAAGCATATTTTGTGCAGGTAGATTTCATAAAACCCCAGTTTTTATGATTCTGGTCATGTAGTCGCAACCTAGATGGATCACTGCTTTCAGATAACGAAAAAGGATAGCTAGCTTGTACGAGGACATATAATAATGGCCTCAATACAGGGACTACCCGCAAAGCTGTTGTTTGACGAATTTTTCTATGTTGCTGACGTGAGAAGGATCGTGTGTCGTTGTGCGGACCAGAATCAGGCAAACGTTGTGCGTGGCATGTGCGACTCGTGATTGGCCAGAAGGCTAAGGCGTCCGGATTTGCCTTGAGGAAAGAACCGTCACCTGGCCCTTCCAGTCTTAGCTCCCGCATGCCAAACTCGACCTCATTCATCTCTTTTCCTCCATGTTCCGCGTGTTATCAACCTCCTTGGACAAGCCTCAAGTCAAATCTGGGCGCGCTCAGTGCTGAGCCACAGTATATTCACTTGTCACCGTTTGCAACGCCCCAAACCCCCTCTGCCGCTTAGCGCCAGGCCTCCAGGTTCTCCCAGCCTTTCGACTACGCCTCGTACGCTCATTCGCCCCTGGGTCCGTGTCCCCACATAGGCTCCCGAGATGTCGTCGGCACGGCCGATACCCGCGTTCGACAGTCGCTTGCCAGGCCCTGAGCCATTCGATTGACCTTTGGATGCGAGATGGCAGTGACAAAGGGGCGGGCTGGGATCTTTGGGCTCTGGAACGCTCGCGGGATTGCCAATTGTGGTGGTGTCACAATTCCTATTTCTCGTGATCAGCTTGAATGTTGGTGGACTGCTGGGAAACTTCTCGATTGGTATTAATCATCTCCGTGACGGGCACTTGAGGCGCCTATTTGCCCGTCAAGTCTTTCTTTACTTGTCAAGTCGAGAATTGCACGAACAGACGCATGTGCGCACTAACCTTGTCGTATTGTCAGTGTCCACTTGACAGGTCGTCCTATTCAGCACGCAGGCCTTCCTACCAGAGTACTAGGAGCATTATTACTGCTTCTGAATTATTGACGTTGTGCTTGTTTAGTTGTGATTCTCCTCTACTCGCGTTATAGCGTTTTCAACTGACGAATCCCCTCGTTGCTGGCCCACGGTTGAAATTACCAGCCGGCAATCCCGGAGGCGTTCTCGATATTGTCATCCTAAGGCCCATCGTAGCCGACTCTCCAGAAGCTTACTCAGTATTTGAGAGCAGTTGTAAGTACAAATTAAGCATCTTGTAAATTTCAAGAGGGTGCTGTAAGGATCACCAAAGGGGCCATCGAGAGCCAACGCTATAGGAGCTCACTTGGCATCGGAAAGCTGCAGCCTTTTTCTATTGTTCCACCACACGTCCCCATGACCAAATCATGCTTGCAAGGTTTGCCGGGTGCCAAACGCTGTTAGGTTCTCGCTCGAGCCTTTTCTGGGTTACAATTGTGTCGGAAGCAACGCATGCGGGGTCGTAGTCTGGGTGTGCCTTATCTGGCTGGACTCTGGATTCGAGAGCAGCGCGGATACGGCACAGACTGTGGCATACCTTGATTCCAGTGCGGATGCTGACGGGCACCGCCTCTTTCGATTGGGCCTTCAGCAGTGGCGGTGGGCGCATGACCCTGATTGTGACGAGCGTTTCCTGTAGCGTAAGGGCATGACCGGTGAGTTTTTACTCGCCTCTTCTGCCGAGACTCGTCGCCTCGAGGGTGGTTGTTCAGCTGCAAGGTTCGAAATCCGGTGAAAGATTTGTGCACGATCCTGCATGTCGCAGAAACACCTGCCTCGATCAGCAATCTGCTGGCGCTACCAAGGGAAGCACATCCGCTGCTTCCATTAGCGGCTTTAAACAAACTCGCCAATGAAACCGTACAGAATAAAGAGACATGAAGTCAAGAAGGCAAACCATGCAGGGTGAGGTCCTCCAGCGGCCTTAGCACCGTCAGCTCAATCCTGCGAGCGTCTACTTAATTCCCGTACGCCCCTCGGTCCTTCGAACTAGAAGCAACTTCAATTCGTATCAAAAAGACCAAAGCAAAGACAACTTACTGGAAACGCGTCGCATTACCGCTGGGTACACGGAGGCCATCAGACATGAGTGCCGCTCGACACAATAAGCGCCCGCATGAATGTTGGCTAGTAGTGCCTCTACGCCGGCTTATAACCCCTCATCAGGCAGAGCCGCATCTCTCATTCGTTCCTTGCCACGCTCAAGCACGTGCAAATCTCGATCACGATAATCGTTCGATCGTACAACGGGAGCAGGCAAAGTCAATTGATTTACTACCAATCTCCTATTATACATGGAAAGACTCAAAATATTGCGTTTTAGACGCTCGTTGTTTCCTCGGAGTGTGTTAGTCAGGTGGGAAACACAACGTACGGGACGGAACCAGTTCACTTCCCTGCTTGCTTCTTCTCGGAGCCGGATCATCCTTCGCATCCCCGGCGCTGTAACAAATGACCCGACGTCGAGCATCTTTCTAGCTGAATTCTCAACGGATCAGCTCTCTCCGGTATCTCACGCCAACTGCCGTGCTGGACAGCAAACATGGATCGCTCTGCATGGAGGGATCCACCTTCGGCTCACTTGGGCACGCGCTGTGGCTTTCCAGCCGCTGGTTAGCCGGCGGCCAGAATCGGGTACTGCTCATGCAGGCTATGGGACTTGATTGAGCGCGATGCCCAGCCGGCTAGCTGACACCAGTGCTTTTTGCTAAGTTGCAGCTGACAAGCTGTACAGCTACGAGAATCCGATTACCACGAAAACGCTACCAAGCCCACATCCACGTCTTGTATGCTCTCAAAATTCTACTCATATTGAAGAGGACCTCTTGGGCACTACTTGCACAGTATTCGTTGGCGTACTAGTCTCCCAGCGAGATGGAACAACCATATGACGACTTGCTACGGCCGCCCGTGGTAATGATGGCATACAGCGGGGTAGGAGAAATCCAGCTGGCTTCCTATCGCATGCAGCCTATGTAGGATCCTGCGCCATGCATATTTGGCAACACTTCTAGCTTATCAGAGGCTTCGTACAGATTCCTGTCCCGCGTCATCGTCATGTAGGAGCTTGTCGTCTGACCCTTTGACTGGAATGGCTTTCCTCAAAGCCGAAAGATCGCAGAGCCGCATCGTGGAGACGAAGGATAAAGCGGTCCGGTAATGAAGGGGAATCATAGTACAGAGCAGGACAAGCGCATTCACGGCACAACCACACGCACCTTATTGTGGGTCTCGAGCATATGCAAAACCGCGGATCTACAAATTTCCATCATGGTCAGTCACTCACATTCTTTTTGTCCTTTATGTTCGGGACTTACGAGATAAAAGCCAAGATACTTTTTCAGAATCGATGAAATAGGCAAAACTCCAAACGCTTCACATACGTACGACAGCAGTGGGCATCATGGGATGCCCGCCTTTGAAGCAGGGGCCGTCAGGTCAATAGGGGGAGGCGCGAGCGGTCAGTGGTGGCAATGTGACGGAACTCAAATTTACGGAATTCCACAACCTCCACCAGGCGCTCAGCCATATAGCACGTACTCAGTCTTCTACATCGGGGGTTTTGGGTTTTGGGTTCTGAAAGGTGACGCAATCAACTCCAACACCTACAGACACTCCAACACCTGGCAGCCTCTGTACTTTCAGCACCACGCTCAAAAGGAATACTCATACCTCTGTAATGCGGAACAATACCGCACAGTCTACAGTCGAAGAAGCGATCAGAATTGGCTGAGGATGCTGCTACCCGATATATATTATGAGAGTGCACCGGTGATAGACCGCTCACGTTACGGAGGCCTCAAAGGAGAGCTGGGCATATTTCTTGCTCTCATCGCTTTTGCTATACACCCACAGGAGTTGCGCGCCAGACTACCCCAAATGTTCACGAACGGGAATTGGCAAACACCCGGCACATTCAATCATGGGAGTAAGTCAAGCCATATTTTTTTTGGTA